GAGTGTAACCAATGAATTTATCTGTTCGAAAAATGTAATATTTATGCAACTCTCATCACTCAAACTAAGTAGATGCAATTATTGGATGTTAATAGAGATCAATAAGCTACCATTTGAACTAATGTTAAACCAAAACAACTTTTTAAATACTAAGTGAAAACCTTGACATCAATATCACCACCCCTCTCCACTGCTTCACATATAAAACCATCCAGATCGTCTGTGGCTGCCAATTCAAGCAAATTTGAGCAATTTCTATAGGTAACTCTTCCCTTATTCTCTTGAAATTTAGCCTCCATCTCCAAATCAAAACGGTAATTTTTGCTCTTTGAACCGCTGCACATCAAACCCTGAAAAATGGGAGTTTGAGTGTAAAAGAAAAGTTTTTGTTCTTTGCAACAATGGAGGTAGCAAACGGGGCAAATATTCAGTACAGGGGAGTCGAAAGAAATGGCTACTCCAATGGAGCCAAATCTCAAGTCGAAGAAAGATGAAGGAAAGCCCAAGCTCATAATCAGAAGCTTCCAACAAGTACCCAAGCTCGGGTTGAGACTCGCCACCAGATCCACGACTTCCTCCACCTCCAATGAAGATCTTATTTCTTTCTCAAAGCTCTTCATGAACGAGTCCAGATCTTGACTCGTTGGACAAAAATTCGTCTCGTCATCTTAACTTTTCCGTCGACGGAGAGATAAGAAATTGGTGAAAAATGTGATGATGGACGGAGAGAGAAATTTGGGTTTTTCTATATTTTGAGGTTTGACACGTAATTAATACAGTAATTATAATTATATTTAGTTTGAGAATATTAATCAAAGATGTAAATTTTTTAAGGCACTGAGCCTAAGCACCTAAGGCCCAACTATATGGTCCCTAATTACACTTTCGAGCAAGTGGAAATTATACACATCCATTATTTTCAACTTTCAATTTTAAAAATCAGATTCAAAAGTTTTTTTTATTCAAAATTCAGGTGAAATTTTGAATTTTTAATATTAATAATAATATGAAAAAATGAAATTAATCTAAATATTCACTTCACGTCATCCCATTTACATCCACCCTACCAAATTTCATTCACAAACCCTAAGGCATTGTTTGATAGGCCACATTTTCCGGGAAAGTAGGAAAATATTTTCCACTTTCCACTTTTTTGGCTGTTTGATAGGCGAAATTTTTCACGGAAAATATTTTCCTACTTTTCCTCACACGTGTGCATTTTCCCGGTTATGAA